GCAATTATCAGACCCTATGTCTGTCCCTTAAGACTGTTGACATAAATGTTCACTTATATATATATATATATATATATATATATATATATATATATATGCATGTGTGTGTATATGCATATTTATATGTGTCTGTGTGCGTGTGTCCAAGTTAACTGGACTTACTTATCTCTGACTAGACAGTCTCTTGCAATTATTGGCCAAATAAATAAAAATCATCTTTCCGCTACATTTCTCCCAAGAACACTTTAAATGTATTTTTAAATATATATATATATATATATATATATATATATATATATATAATTCCATTACTGCTTATACCCCTAGATATATAATTTCTTACACGCAACTATATCCGGGACAACTGCAATTTACTCAGCAATATATCTTTATCTACACCTAACGTTATTAAAGATTACTTTGTCCAGTGTTCGAAACCATAAAAATACCCTTTTTTTCTTTTAGTTATTACAAAATCATCTCCAACGTCCTTTTGAACGCAAACAGCAGCTGGCGGGCCAGACAAATTCTGTACAACTTATCACTCCCAAATTTGGTTGCTGGAATATGTCAATGAATTCTATATAAAGTTTTGTCGCTATACAAAACTAAAGTTAAAATCTTTCGTAGACAGTCTCTTTCCAATTTCACCGTGGGAAGGCGGAGAAACGGTTGGGAGTTTAGAAAACGATTCTCCGCTAGAGTATATAAAGCCATAGTTTCCGGTTTGGAGGCTCACCTATAAAGACGAGACTGATAGGAAGCTAGTTTCTCTGTTCAATTTTTAAATGTAGGGATTTTTGTCCTCAAAGACTTCTTTCATTTTTGTCTTCATGCGAGAGAAAACTCTAAAGAGTCACAGCCAAGGTCATAAAAGATTTCGTTTTGAAGCGCCTACCATAATTTTATTGGTAATAAGAATCTCTAGAAGCCCAATTAAACTGCAGAATGATTTCAAGGTAATCGAAGTCTCAAGCAAATTTAAGTAATACATTGTTAATAATTAACATTTGATGCAACGACCAGCAAATTGTCCTCGCCGATTTTTATTAACTAAGATTTTTTGGAATCCTCACAGTATTTAGTATTGTTTTTTTGAGATTGATAAACTCTACGTGTCGTTCCATTTTGAAAACCAATCAATTAAATTTAAATATGCTAATTTGTTTTGAAAAATATTTTAACTAATGCCCGCTTCACGGTTTAATTTCTTTAATTTACTTTAAATTTATAGGTCTTCATGGTAAACAATATTTTAGGAAACTTTCTTTTTTATTCTTTTTAATAGAGAAGAATAAATTCTTAGGATTTCTTACTCATGACCATGTAACATCCAACTGGCCATGAGTTAATATTTTGTTTCTGGGGCCAAATTCTAACTTTTTGAAGCATTTGAATTGGCTTACAGTTTGCGAAAACGCTAGTCGAACTGGAAACTTGTGTTAAATAATAAAACTTTTAATTTTTCCCAAAAAATGAATGAAAATTCATTGTATTAAGCTACGCGCCCCAGTAAAAATCAACTGTACTTTCTACTTCATAACCTGTTTGTACTTCTTCACAAAATGTGATCTCACTAGGTCAGTGTATGGCTATTTTAGAAAGAAGTCGCTGAATTGTATATATATATAAATATACAAAGAAATAATCACACATAGAATCAATCAGAAGTATTAATGCGATTATTGGCGACATCCATCGCTAGAAACATAATATATGCATTAAAATACTGTTAATCCATAGAGTGAAGTGATCCTCGTAGATAAACTTGATGTCTGTAGTTTTCAGTTTAGTTGATGTTAAAATGCTAGTACTTACGAATAGTCCTCTATTCATAATCAGGCATGTGTTTTTTTCCTTATAAAATCAAAAACTTGGAGACGAAATACTTGTATATCGACCGAAAGATGTTTTTTGAATATCTGCTATTATTAATAATTTCGGATAATAAGTGTGACATTCCTGTAATTATTGAACAATATAGTCCATGCCACATCATATCATTCATATACAGGTTAGGGATTAGTCTATCTTATTGAAATTGTTTTCTAAGATGTATTCTCGCCATTTAAATCATTAACCTCTATATTTGTTTTTTGTATGAATGATTCATGTAATGATATATATATATGTTCTGTTAGCCCGTCTTTATATTATTATTATTATTATAATTGTTATTTTTATATATATATATATATATATATATATATATATATATATATATATATAGTAATCCACATATATGCCTGTTTTGCTGTACTACAGCTCATCAGTGTGATTAGACATCCCATTGCTTCAGGACGGGATCGAAACTCGACGAATTCGGAATCAGTCAGAGATTCTACCCCTAAGCTATCAGTTCACGGTACCGAAAAGGAAATTTTTAACGTATTATATACGTGATTTATAAAACGCCAATTCAGTAGTCAAGAGCGGTCAATTCATGACTGAAGATCGATGCGTTAATAGCAGGAGCAGGAACAGTTTTTTTAATTTCCTTTCCTATAGTGCTCAATAGGTGAAGAAGAGCGAATATATATATATATATATATATATATATATATATATATATATATATATATATATAGAGAGAGAGAGAGAGAGAGAGAGAGGAGAGGGGGATAGATAGATAGATAGATA